GGGGGGGGGGGGGGGAATGTCAATTTCTACGTGTCCAACAGCCATTATGGGTTTTTCAGTCATTGCTTCAAGTCCAAGCAACCCTTATTAACCTAACCTAGTTATTTACTTTTTACTTATCGTACCTATGACGTAGTGATAATAATAACGTAATACAACAATGAGCTGCTATTCGCCGGAGAAGGGACGATTATTCTTGGCGCATTCTAAACTTGGCGACAATTTCTATTTTCGGATCCTTCCCTCCCGTAGGGCACTTATACGCAGAGGACATATAAGCCAGCTTGGTACTTTTAAAGGGAATGAACCGTTGGAAACGACTTCGTGGAAGCTTGTCGATTATCCTTTGGGACTGGATAGGTTAAAGTTTTCTGGTCCCTTCACATTTTGTTGGTGTGCGAACGTCTTTTTTTTCTTCTCTCGGAATTCAACCTATCGTAACACGAGTAAAGCGTTTAAAATTTTCAGTGATTTAATATACGGATTTTATGTGGATTTTATGGTAGCGAAAGAGAGAGAGAGAGGAAAAAGGTTGAAATTGCCAACAATGATTTACGATGCACGAAATATTTCTTCTCATCGAGCTTTGATGCCTGTTTCCTTCCTTTTCTTATGTATGTAACTTCGCGGATAACTCTAGACAGACAGATGGAAAAAGAGCAAGAAAAATGTCTATGACGCTTCTGGACTGAATTTCAAGAGTTAACTGTACCTCCAGAGCTGTAAAGTCAATTTGACGAAATTGTCTTAACCCCGCGGGAATAAACAGAGTGCCGGGTAAGTCTCCGCAAAACAAGCCAATAAAAATGACTATCGTGCAATTAACCACCCGTAGATTAAATTGATTGATGGTTTATGAGTTTCAACGACGTATACGTTGACGATCGGCAGATCAGTTCAGGAATAGTCATCGATCAACTATTTGAACATCCTTTTTCTCGATATAGAGTCAGTCCACTAAACACGCCCTAATACTATATTTATACACGTAAGATTCAATCAGAGTTCACGAGAAAAAATTGAAATACAATAAGTTTGTCATTACGGTTCCAGAAAGTATTACAGCAAATGACTATGATATTTTTCAATTGTCAATAGTTTCATTGACACAAGTATCATTCATGGGTTAAACAATAAAAATGATAATTAGATACGAGATCCTAACCTCCTCCGTGTGTACAAACAGAACAAAGAAATTCTTGCGTAGTTAGCAGACCCAACAAAAATTGTACACGCGTCTAGAAAAAGGTATCCTTAAACTCGAAGTCTGGCTGAAAAAAGTTTTGGGACTGTAGCAGACCAACAAACGGGGTTTTTTCGTACTACCGATGACTTCTTTTTCCCAGCTGTTTCTGTTTTCGTTCTCCTCTCCTTTCGCGCCCACTCTTTTCAGTTTTCTCCACTGTTCTACAAGCTGCCATCAATTAATCATTCGACAAATGAGACACGTGTTCCCCTAATTCCATATTTAGGACGTTATGTGTGTTCACAAAGGAGCCAACCGGAGCTGAATAAAAATTTTAAGAATTTTTAACCTCTTCGAATTTTATATGTATGTACATATAATGCTTCTTCATACCTCGTAATTGTCAGAAATATTTATTTTGACCCTTTCAACGACGAACTACGCAAGCTTGGAAGTCTCAAAGAATTAGCAGGGTATTACGTCATTCCAATTTCTGTTATGTCTGCTTTCCTTATTCTTTGTATCTTCTTTGGTTCACGGAACTACAGCATCGTTTAACATTTGAACCCGACGTTAGTCATGCCTTGTCCTCGGCAACGAGAACTCTTTCAATATTCCTTTTTAGTTCTGAGTTTCTTATATCACCTGTATCCGTTACTGGTGACACCAAACTAATTTCATAAACACGTGTTCTCGGTTGAAGTAATTAATTAAGACTGCTGGAATCATATTTAGGGAGTTGAAATAAAAAGAAAAAGACAGCAGGAATTACAGTCTCTTTTACAGGTTATGGAACGTGTATAGGTGTGCTCGTAAAATTTTTATTACTTTGCTCAAGTATGAAACTATGAAAAGAAAACAATAAAATGTTCGTTAATTTCGTGGCTAAATTCCAATCGGTTAGTAAAAAAATGACTTACCGTGAACGTCCTGGACCTGTGAAGCTGGTAATTAAGAAGAGCTTTCAAGCTGTTTCAGAAGCAATTTGTCACGACGCTTCGCGTCGATTAATTGCACTTGATAAAACGTCGTGAACTTTAATAGAGTTTATAGTTCTTTTTGTCACCTTCACTATGTTGGGCAACACGAGAAATCCTTCCTTCAGTCTTTCGGTGGGTTTAAAAACATTTTGGCGGGAGATTTGAATTTCTGGCCTCGCGCCTTTATACACTCAATTACGAATGTTTTCAAAAATCTATCTTTTCCGACGTTCTTAGCAATGTTTACGATTCGACGAACGTCACTTACTTAAATAAAACACTATTTTACTCTTAACACAAACCATCGTAGTTAATAAATCACGTTGACTGGTACACCTTACGTTTTTCAGTGTTATTGAACTTGTGGCAGAGTTTACTAATTAAGAGAACACTCGTTAATTTTACTTCTAGATTGTTAATTAAGTCGCTTACGAGTAACAGACAGTCTGCAGCATTAATGCATAGTACGTCATAAGACGATATACTCCACTGCGAGATAATGTCTATTTATTTCAATGAAACGTACAAAAGGAAACAGTTCTTTTAAGCAACAAGTGTCAATTACTTTTCTTTGTAGTCAATACAATTTTACGCTATGAAAAAATTTAACCATATAACAAACCCAAGTTCCATCCCTTAAAGCACACAGTTAACACATTACAATAAATGCACCATAAAGACCAAAAGGTGTCCACATTATTACGAAAGAAATATATTCAGACGACCCATTTATACAATTATTTATTGTCAATCTTTATTCCCCGTTGTTGAACAGCACCCAACGTACACTAATTGAAAATTATCAAATTATTAACACAGCTTAAGTCGCCGACTGTACCTATAGTTAACTTTGATATGTTTATCGATCAGTTATGAACAAATTGTTTGGTCCAAACAACACAATGTACACCAATCCTTTCACAACGACCGCTCAACGCTTACTGAATCCTTCAACAAGCCGTAGCTTGCACGTTCCTAAAAATGCATGTGTGCATATACAGTGGCGCCACCATGGAAGACTCGGGCGTTTCAGTAAACTGAATTAACGTAAACCATATCGCAACTCTGTATTTATAAACGTTTTATGGGTTTTACATATTTTATAATTAATTTCAGATATTCTCCAAGTAAATAGAAAGTACGAGTAACCAGTACCGAAGAAGAATCTTAATAAGTACGTGTATAATTTTTATTTATTTATTCCTTACAAATTCCTTCTCTCTGATCTTCAAACCGCCTATAAAGAATTCGAAATTGCTTTATGAGATGATATGTATGATTTGATCCGCTTAGATTAATATTAATATATAGTATTATATAAAGGGCAGCATTCTTATGAAAAATAAAGAAATTGCGAGAACGTGCAAAGGGCGTTGATCCGTAGACAGTTTTATAGATAAGAGTTGTTTATGCGAGGGTGGATTCTCTGCTCATCGTCTTCCTTCCACCCTTGATATACCCTGAGGAGCTTCGATACATTATTAAACTCGCCCCCTTAGCCGTTTGTACGGTTCACTTTCAGATTTGAAATCATTAACGGAAAATTTCTTAGTGCCTATAGTATGGGGAACGAAAGCGATAACAAATTTAATAAAATCAGTTAAGCTCTCGTTATTAGGTAATAAAGAGGGGGATGATCCTCATTAAAAATTTGTAAATCTGTTAACAGGTTACAAATCCTATCTCTCTCTTATCAGGCAAAAATCAAGATTACCCTTGCTCCAAGATATTTTATTTAATTACCAGCCATTTTTCCCCCAGGTGAATATTACATTGCGTAACGTTAATACACTTTATTTGTTCCCTCAACAAATTTTGATCCAATGAAAGGGATGAACTTTTTTTTCGTAACATTTTCTATTATCTTTTTTTCATAATTTTGTTTGCTATGACTGTATTTATTAACGGCAATATAACGGGTGTTTATTTTTACGTTGATAATAAATATACTACCTACTGCGGTACCCATCTTGTTCCTTTGGAATTTTATACATATAATAATAGTAATAAATCATCCCCTACAAACACTGACTGTTCTATCTTGGATCGTGGGGCGACCCTTATATATTTAGCACGTCTTAGAATAACGCATATACCTACTGTGTAATATGCGTTATGCGTATGAACCATCCTTTATATTATCTACACAGGTACAAAACCCTGCGATTTCAGAGAATAAATAAATAAAATAAAGCCTTATAGAAAATTAATAATAAAGAGACCAACAATATACAATTTCATATATTGTTAAGGGCGCTGCAATACCGTCTTGAATAATTTTATTATGGTAATCCGCATTGACAATGATTGCATTACCATATAAATATTCAATGCGTATAAGGTGGAGTACCGTGCTCCAAGTCACCCCTACAAAATATTCCAACCCCTATTTAAATTTAGCAGCGGATGCCATCCGAAACAAGAATTTTAACCCGTGTCCGATTACATATGAAACAAATAAGGGCTGCTTACATAATCCATGTAAAGTGGGAATAAATTCTACACAGACTCCACCGTATCATCGTCAGGATAAGTTTTAGAGGGTTGAACATCCCTTCAGTAATAAAACGAAAGAACCAAAAACTTAAAACAAATATCAACGATGATAATAATACTGACGACATATTCCGCTCGTGCATCGAAAAGTACCTAGAAATATTACAGTAGTGACAAGGGGGTAGAAGAAATAAAGGATGAAGTAACAATAGCACACGTATCACTACTTGAAAGTGTTCTCGTGCGTGTCGTTAAAATTTCTTTTCAATTTCACAGATTTTGTCCCCTGGCCCCCGGCAGGGATTGGCCCCACCAGTATATCCCCCAAAGACCCGACTAGGGGGTTTGGATCTCAGACTGTTGTTGACTAATGGCGGACCCCCCACTCTTTCGCGGCAGTACAAATGCGCATGCGCATACATCCGTACGATTGCCCAATCCCCCACGCTTACGTCTAGCCTGTTGGTAAAAGCGGAGGATTACAAACTGCTCAAATTGAGGGGAAGTAAGTTATTATGGGGATGAACATCAGAGGCAGAGCACTGTACCCCTAAGTGAGAAGCACGCATGGGAGGAAGAAAGGCAGTAGTATATCACCCCAGACGTAGGGGTTGATTTAAATTTCCTCCAGTACAATAACATCGTAGCCAGGACACGTAGAAATGCTTCAATTTCTTGACTAAGTGGATGCAAGGGATGTTACGAATTCTAAAGCTACACCCTTAACGTAAAGGTGAACAAGGACTACCACTACCAGTACCATTATTTTCATTACTATCATCAGTGCAGCGATTACTACCCTCGTTTGCACCCCAGGTCCTTGTTTGATCTGCGCGTTTCTTCAAATTCGGTAAGGGAGCTTTGCACCCTTTAAATTTACTTTACTTCGTCAGTCTATCTTCCTCCCCTCCCCGCTTTTACTATCAATTTCTTTTTCTTCAACTTACTTTTCCTCCTTTCAAATTCAAATACCTTGCTCTCCCCAATAATTTCATTTCCGGAAAGCTACAAAAAAATTCAATCTCTGTTTCCTATGGAACTTCACTGTTTATTGTGTGTAATAGTCCGTATGCACGAACGCACATCCAATACATTTCTTTTCGTTCATCAGAAATTTAATATTGCTTCCATCTCTTCCCTGCCACACCCCCAATAACCCTCTGATGAAGATATTTTCTTATATAGTATAGAACAGCCATGTAAGGTTTGACGATAATTATAATTTTTATTTTCGCACGAGACACTCGTGTCCCTGCATATTTATAGGATTTCATTTGTACCTGACATTGAGATCTCGTTGACTGAATTGCTCGACTAATTGGTCATTTTGTCGATTGCCGTTTAAATTACATAATTATCTAAGCCAATGGAAGTAACAACGCATTGGGAACAACTGAACGTAGGCTACCTCAATGCTAAGCTTGTAATTAGAAAAGAAAAAAAGAACAGTTTTAACCATGCAACGAATACATATAATTTAAAGGGTTTGGAACCACTGTTCAGTTTGTTGATAAATTTTGCATAATTTCCTTTTCACTTCTCCATCTTTATTTCACTAAGTACAGAAACGCTCTTGCCAAGCTATAAGAACTGGCCTGATAAAGGAAACATTGTTTTTTAAACTAACGAGAATCAAATTATTGTACTTACAAGACGGGGCACGCATTGTGGTACAAGTATAAATATAACTAAATAAAGTAAAAAATATATGATAACAAACAAAAACAAAAGATGTAACCTACAAGAACATTTTGCCGAGCGAGTATATTTTTGTCTTATGTCTCTGCCTTTGCATTATGTATATATTAATGTGTGTCGGATAGCAACAACAGTTATATAACGACGTTTAATTTCTTTTGTTGTTGGTTTTGCTAAATTTTTTCGTTTTCTTTTTTCATGTTTCACACAGGAAATCTTTAGAATCAAAGTGCCTTTTATCATTAAAATATTACACGTAATATATCATTTTCTAGGAGATTCTTTCATGTATAATTAATGTTTTGTTCTGCTGGTGTTTACTTAACTATAAATATCTATATTTATCAATTATAAACGATATCGAGCAACAGGAATAAATGCGATGGATGTATGTAATCTGTAGACACGTGTGTCTGCAGATTTGCGCATGCGTGATGCGGTTCGTTGTATAAAGTAAAAAATAAAATTCAATCAGTTCAATTCCTAGGGAACTAAAAAGGGCCTGAACGCTTTTCGTTTTCGCTGAATTCACATGGACAAATAGTTCGTAAGACGCTTCATAAATACACTTAAACAAAATCCTTTAAAGAGGACAATAAATAAAACTATAAAAAAATATAAAGCAACCATTTTTTTCAGTCCCTCAAAAAGTTAAATTTGACGATAGTAAAAATATATATAGGAATATAGATTCTTTGTATTTTGCGTATATAACGAATCTTGTTTCTATCTCAATTTCCTGGAAACTTAGTGCCACTCCCTTTGTCGACGCCATGTAAATTAGGGATAAATTTTCGTGGATCCTCCACTTTAATTTTTACAGAACAAAAAAAGGAAAGTGATACATGAGAACTTTTTCATTGCAACTTTTAAAAATCTCATGAGAAACTTTACAAACAACGTTTCACGATATAACCCGACGTTTCAAATGGCTTCTTTCCTTACTCTCCTAGTTTTCCCAATTTTCTCTTTCATCTTCGTTCGTTAAGGCACTCATTAAAAGCCAATAATAACAGCGAATAGAAGAAACGTCCGCGCCATTCTATCATTCTCCAGGAGCATTCAAGAAAATCAAGGTTTAATCGAACGAAAAAATATTCGACATAACTCTGCGTATACACTTAAAAAAAAAAAAAAGAAAAATAGATGTAGTGATCGCAATAGCAGTAGTAATAGTAGTGAGAAGGAAAGGAAACGCGTGTGTATATATAATATGCATATACACAGAACTAAGTACGTATGCAATCTCACGATCTCCTAAATATTTCTTTGTACCGCATTTTTTTTTGTCAAATCCTAATAATAAATTCTGGAAGTACTTGGGTTTGCCTGACTGCTGACTATAACCATTACAATTTTCATATCAATATAAAACATATATACATATAAATACGTACACAAAAAGTATGTATCTATATAAGTATATATATAAACCCTTTCCCAACAAGGGACTCACATTAGTTTCGACGTGCACGAAAAGAATCTCTATAGCAATTTTCTTTGTCCCTCCTTTCTATTCGAATTGATTTAACGTTGTACACGTCGCGCCTACCAGAAAGTTGCAAGAACGCACTGAGAAATAGAATTTATCATAGACCATAATCGACTGTGCGCCATTGTGCCAATAGAACTCGTTGATAGTAATTTTATTTTCATTACATGCCCCACGCACTTATTGACATACTCTACCCTCTCCTTTCAAGTAAAACTGCCAAATTGCGCTTACAGGGGCGATGAGGAAAACATTTTTTTTAAATTGCTAAATGCTACGAACAACACAAAGTATATGCTGCATAAGGGACAGTGTTCTCTATTTCCTTCAAACTTCTTTTGGCATGCTATTCCCTGAGTGAAACTTTTCACTTATGATGACGAATGAGAGTAACTAGCGTATCTAATGGAGTATTGCGCATACGTGTTTTGTGATTCATGAAAAAAAGTGAGAGAGTCGATTAAAATACGTAAGAGTGGACCACCGTACAGCATCCCACGCAGATCATTGGTAAGAATTGAATTAAATGTACGCGGCTACCTTCCTGATTAAACTTGACGGTCAAGTTAGTTTCGCCAGATGAGTTTTCAGTGGCGATCGATCGATTAAGTCGCTGAGTTATTAATTAAGTACCTAGTGCTAGGTTCAGGCTATGTGTCACGCCGGCGAATCGGTGTTTTGCTCGTTGTGTGATTCGTTCGTAGCAAAGTTTGCCGAGGAACCGCACGGAGTTCCGCGACCACTGACTGATCGTTAAGAGTGATCCTCTTTCGGAAGGAGGTTCGTTTTTTCTTCGTCGCCCAGAGACTTCTTGCCGGCCATTAGGCGCGCCGCTTCATTCTGACGCGACAGAACCTCGGCGTCCATGTCTAATTTAGGTTGGCCGTCCTGAGGACTCGGTAGATTATCGAGCATCTGTTTTAATTGAAAAAAATGAATTTTTCTTCTAGTAAAATTTGTCTAGTAGTATTTTGTAAATAGTAATGGATTGACAGATTACCTTGGCTGGGGAACTTCTGAGTTTTCCATTATGATCACTACGCGGCGACACGAACTTCGCATTCGTCATTGGACTCGCGCTCACCGGAACTGGTGAGGTCGGTGCGGTTGCGTTTCGCTGTAGCGTATTTTGACTATCTTTGTCCTTATCGCGTGGCAACATTGGGGAGTCTGGGACGCTGCGCTGCTCATCCTCGTCAAGAGAGTGAAGCAACTTTTCTACTTCGTCGTCGAATTGATCATGACTTGGCTTCGGATCTTTTTGACTTCTTTCTAATAAAGTTGCTCTCTTGGCAGCTAAATAAAGCGACCTCTTGACCTTCAGGTAGAAGACTTCCGTTACTGCGCGTACCGTGTAATCTGGTACGAATGTGTGACGTAGCATAGCATCCAAATTGATGGACTGTATGCTACCCAAGGTCTGAGGATTGGCATTGACTGGCGATTCGGCTACAATAATTGAAATAAAGATTGATTAGAATTGTTGGCAAAATATGTATTAATCGAGCTTGAAATGGCAGTACTTACCAATACCGATATTGGCCGTGAGAGCCTGCGACCCAAAGTACGTGAATGGACCACTTTCGAACATCAAGTTCTCCCGACCTACCGTGACCTCGACACGTCCCTCCAAGATGAGGACGAAATAATCTACAGGCTTTCCTTGTTGATAGATCACAGTTGCTGGATCGTTCTTTGCCTTTTCGCGTGTCTTTACTTTAATATGATATATAATATCTTGCTTCAGCAGACGGCGTAGAATTGTTTCTGATATTGTGTCTGGTTTAAAGGCTTCGACAGCTATTAAATTAAAAACAATAATAGAATAGTTATCTCATCGACAACGCAGAACCGTATTTTCTTGTTGTTCGTCAGAAGATCACTTGTACTTACTCGTCGACAAATACTGGAACATGGCTAGTGTCAATTGCGGGGATATGTGTATTCGTTGATTCTCCTTCTTCTCAGCAAACATAGTGAAGTCTTGCAATTTTGTCGAACGAGCCGGTCTCCTTCTCTTACTTCTGTTGTCGGCTGTTGTAAATTAAAAAATTCGTGTAAATTTCAATTGTTTATTTCTAACTCTACTGAGATCTCTATTGGAGAAAAATTTCGAATATACTAACTGAAAACATCCGTCTCATCCATAATTTCTGCTTGGATCAGTTCTTCAATTACGTCCTCCAGGGTGACTAATCCAATAACTTCGTAGAAAGGATCACCCTCTCCCTCGTTATTGACTCTCTGCACAAAGGCCATGTGTCCTTTCTGTCCTAAAATCATAAACGGACGATGGAAATTGTCAGTGAAACGCAGCATCAATGTCCATCACATGCAGAAATCAATGAAATTTAAAATACAATAATATAAATCTTTTTGAGGACAACCGTATATCTCTCACCTTCCTTAAATTGCTTGAACATAACATCCAGGGTGACATCTTCGAAGACAAAATTACAAGGATTCTGATAAAACTGACAAAGCGTCTTCAATGGCGTATTGTCGTCCGGATCGACAAAGGCGAGATCCTTTATGTAAAGCATAGTAATAATATTGGTTCTGCTTCCCTCGTAAACAGGAACTCTGGAGAATCCTATGAAACATTAAGACTTAAACCCATGCTACATAATAAAAAAGGAACAAAAGCATTGTCTGGACGGTAAGCTTCTCATCGAATGTTGGATCTACACTTACCAGATTTCATAATTTCGGATACGGTTTCGAAATCTAAAATGGCATTATAATCCAACATATACACATCTTCTATGCGCGTCATGACGTCTGCTACAGTCTTCTTGCGTAACTCCAAAGCCCCTGAGATGATATTCACCTCGTCTTTCTCAAGGTCATTGTACTCGGTGGTAATCTGTAATAAGAATAAACAATTTTTGAAAATTAAAGTGCGATTTTGAAATTAAAAGCAATTGATAGTATCTTATAGGTTTTGTATTTCTCTTTCCTGCCGTAATTGTGAATATCCATATGAATTTTGTGTGTGCTGATTTTACTTCCTTTTCTAATTTAACATTTCATTTCTACTAACATCCAGCATCGATAGACTTGGTGTACATTAACCTTTTAGTTTTGAGGCTTTCGCGGCCGGAATCATTAGTAATTAGGAAAATTCAGTATAGGAGCTCCCTAGCCCTGATGATGCAGACTGGAACGTTTAAGAAACGTCGGCAATACGTTGAAACTAGACGAGGCATCCATGGAGAAGCCATGAATTTTACTATTGTTTTATTTATTTGATGTATAAAACAAAATGTCACTTTCATTACTTTTTCTTCTACTTATTGTTTTTTCCTAAATTCCTAATAGTTCATTCGGGCTTAAATAGGCCTAACCCACACGAAATGGAGAACTATCCCATATCCAGCAATAAAAAATCAATTATCACGTTCACCCACGTTGCATATCGCGTTCATTAACCCTACGCCAATTCTCAAACTCGAGTCCCTCATGTGCTTCTAGGTAAATGATAAAAGATAAAATATCACAGCATCCCATAGGAGTCAAATGACAAGCGACATTTATCTGGTCCGACAATTCGAAGAAGTTCTGAACCAAGATAACTCAATCTACTTTTGGAAACTGCAACACTTGAGAATCACTGCAATGACTTTCACAAAAATTCAGACACATCTATTAATACCAGATAAATTTCACCTTTCAGTCTCATGTTTGTAATTATACTTAACTACTTAATTTCCTCGCTCAGATTAATAATTCTACTAATTGATTGCTTCTCTGAAACTTGCGTCAAGAAAAATAATATTTAATGCACAAGAAGTATGTAAATTTGAACCTTTTTTTTCCAAACACTGTCATCGTTTGAGAACTACTGAAACGTATATAAGAAGTGAGTCATAAAGACAATTATAAAATGTCGTTCCTGTCATGCATCAAAACGTTTTAATTTTAAAAAAAACTTTACCAAGAATTTAGGCGTCATCAATTTTCAATAATTAACTACCTTATTAGTCAGAGTAACTCATTTCAGCTGAAATCCATTATTGCGCAATAACATATTGTTCTTGTTTACTCACATTAACCAATTCCTTGAGACGTTCTCGAGTGTAGACGTTGCCAATTTCCTCGCCGAGAATAAAGTCGAGAATCTTACTGATCGGGTAGCTCAACGGGAATGTGAGGACCATCGTGATCTTCGTCAGGAGAATGGTCTTAGCACCAATCATTAACCCGTGTCTGCTGCAAATAGCCTAGAAGATATAAAACAGAAAGGAATTAATGAATTAATTAGATTACCAAAAATATACTCTAAATTGAAATAGATTAATTTTACTAACCTGAGGCCAAATTTCACCAAAAACTACAATGGCTAGTGTGGAGCATATGACGGCTATAAGGCCGGAAGTGAGATCATCCAGAATGACGGTGAAAATTGAGTTGACCAGAACGTTAGAGAATAAGATTGAGCATAGTAAATAGTTTCCGTGATTACGAACTGGTTGGATTTTCTTTGCGTATTCCCTTTCCTGTTACGAGAGAGCGGAAGAAGAAATGTATATTTACATTTACAGAAAATACTGCCTTTTAAAAAGCGTTTTCACATTATTTCGAAAGAAAATTATTACGACAGGTGGAGTGGATCCAGCATCGTGTAAACAAAGATGCCAGTACAAAACGCAAGTATTCATTTGAACATGCTGCCATTACAAGACACCATCTGCAAATTTGCAAATGCCGCTCATGACAGCCGCTCGGTATATAATTGAAGATTCTAAACGGCGACTGTTCGGTCGATAGAGATCATATGAAAATTCAAATTTGTATATTTATTTTTTCTTAACTCACAATCACATACACAGTTCTTTCTACCTGACTTTCCTTAGCGATGAGATGGAAAAAATCGCATCATAAGAAACAGCACTACAGGAAGAAATTACCACAGATCATCATAGACTTATTTTTCGCATTAGCTACTCAGTACGATTTACGTTCAGCATTTTGCGTTTCAGCCAGCTACCTTGTTTAATACTTGCCGATAGGTATCGCATAAGATTCTTTCCTTCCCACTAACGGGAAGGGATTCATCACTTACTTTTGGAGATCCAGTGTTACGCAGAATCTTCAATTCAGTTCTGTCGAGCGCCATAAGACCGAGATTCAGACCAGAGAATAATGCCGAACTGCATAAGCAAAGAAATATGAAGACAATACTGAGCCATACCGGCAAAAGTTTTTCGTAAGTACCAATCTAAAAGAACAAAAACACATTCATTGTCAATTCATATAGAAATTCACATGACGGAAGCACCATTAGATAAACTAGTTATTTTCATTAACATGTTATTGCTTATTGTTGTTCAGTGACACAAGTGCCACCTATCTAACAGTGAATGAACTAAATTGAATTAACTGATCAATTAACTCACAGTTTTCCAAGTCGCTGCACCCTGATGTTTGAACAACACAATGTCGTTTTTATTCTCAGAATGTGGTTGCTTCACACATAGAAAATATGTGCCTTTTGGAAGAATGATGTTTGTTAAAGCCGTATTATTTCCTACCGCAAACACCTGTGAGGAACGAAATTTTCTATTACAACGATAATCGAAGAACTGTACTTTTTTTCTTTTTTCTCAACATCGCTTCTGACTCACATCGCACAATCGTGACTTAACTAACTTACCGAAAACTCCTGAGTCTTAATCTTGTCGCATATCGTGCCATATTCACCAGATACATCGGTAAAGGCGATGAGCGTCTTCTCCGTTATGCCAACGCCAAATAATCGCAAGGTTGTATTCGAATAGACCAGGATCTCGGGCACGCCATCCGCAGAGATACCAGGTTCCTTACTAGCGTGCTCCACTCGAAAACCATCGATCCTGACTTCGACAGGTGTTGGTATACCTGATACTGATTCATCTCCTTCGCCGAAAACCAAACCAAAATCATTCCTTTTACGCCGAAGAGTGTTCCTGAAACACAATAGAAAAATAATTCATGAGTAATTAATAATTCCATAATTATGAGCTTCAAGATAGAAACGTGACTTCTCCTTCTTGGTTATATGGAATCTCATTAATTGTGAGAATTTGAATGTGATGAATAATTTTAAAAAAGTTGCTATTGATATGATATAATTTTATCCGCGTATAAAGGCGTGCTTGCAATAACAATTTACACTTTTTAAAATGCGGCCAAAGTTTATTTATCCTTTTGCGTCTATACATCCAACGTTCTCGGTGTGTAATACCCGCGTGTACGTATACAGGATACGGCATATGTGATGCGATACGTGCACGTAGTCTTTGCTATAGATAGACGGATCTGGTTTTGTGCAGTTTACGGTGGCTCGTAGCGGTATTAACGATTGCAAACATCGCATCCCTTATTGAATACAAAAGTATTGGCGTATCCCTTGTGTGATCACTTGGACAGTAACGCCCTATGATATTCCTGGTTGAAGGAATGCTTGGTATCTTTAATAACCAGGAAGATCGAAATGAAATATAACAGTGAAAAGGGGAGCATCTAATCTTGAAATTGTCAATAAGAGTAAAATATTCTGAGTGTAATCACATAATTGATTACCGACAATTATGCCACTCGGTGCGTCACTCTATGTATTATAGAAAATTGACATCAAACCTTTAGAAAATATTCCTCAATCTATATGGCAACCAACTATAACATTTTGCTGATAAATTTGAGTACCCTGGCATTTTTGCCTGCATTTTCACATTCTCTGGAATTTGTTATTTAAAGTGCATGCTACAAATATACGATATGCTTGTCAAGCATTGTCAAAAGTGTGTATGGCCCCTTGTACATGCGCACAAGATTGCAGATATGTGCAGAGACTGTCTGATGTAGATGGAATAGGTCAAGGCTAACCAGGACTACCCCTAGGATCTTTGTACTATATATCCAGATAGAAGTCCATAGATATAATGCATGTGTATACGGCAGAGGGGTGTGCAGATGCATTAAAGCAGGCCGAAACAGTCTCCCGTATCGATTGACCTCTGGCTGCGTAACTTTCCCTCTTTTTCTCAGGCTCCAAACCGAATTACTAGTAGACCTACCCTCGTAGCAGCCAGCCTGTAACATGGCAGGGCAAATATTTAAAAAAAAATATCCTTATCGTTCATATTTATTATGCATATTAAATTAAAATAAATAAATTACGACTGTTCTACAGAAAAAAGTTCTTTGAAAACAATCAGTATCGAAGCATCAATTTTCATTAAAAGATCCAACTGTACTCAGATTTATACTGCACAATTGTATAAATCCTCCGAAATGAGATCAAGGGTATCCAAGGAAACGAGATAAATGCTGAAAGGCTAATTATAAAAAGTCTGCACACTTATTTGAAAGAGGTCTCGTTGAGCCTCTTCTATGCTTTTTTCTTTTTTGTTCTAAAGCAATTGGTACTCGCTGGAGAGTGAAACGTATTGCCTTCGTTAGTTCATTGATTCGTCAAAGATTATATTGTCTTCTAGAGCAAACTCTGTGTTTACATTGTTCAGAGATTCTCAAGACCAATATAAGAGGCTGGAGTTCAATTAGATTCTCAATAAAGCCCGTGACCATTGCTCTTCACTCTGAGCAGCTTTATTCTACCGACAGTTCGAGAGTGTTAATAAGTTCAAAATAATTGTAGAGGTGCGAATTAGGCCATTGAGGTTAAAAAGTTTCTCAATATTACTGTGTCACTGGCCAAAAATAAGCGGTTATCGGTCTCTATGTAATGCAACGCGTTATACTCGTATGCTGAAAGCCATCAGCAACAGTAAACAGCTCGATGAGTCATCGCACAGAGAAAAGTAATAAAAAAATCTATCCAAAAATTTTATATAAACTTGTTAAATCTTCATAATTTAATTTGGATTTCCCGGATAATTGGTTTTTCTAAAATAATCATCAAACTTTTGAATATTATACTTAATATACAGTGAAGTAGAACGAGCATAGAATGCATGCATGATTATATTACAGTTATTTGTGTACAATGTATTTAATAGTGGTTGGCTAATCGCAGAGTTTCATTGATAAACCTTGTGCATTAGATTACCCAGAAAGACTATAGTTATTACATGGTAACTAAACTACTTGGATAATAATAGAGCAGTCAAATAATTTGGTTGCTGACAAAGAATCCTGTCGCATAATCAGATCGATTATTGATACAGAGATTCTCTAATTGAGAAGTATGCAATTACAATAAGATTCATTTTCAAATATGTTTTATTTCTAAATTATTTTTCTTTATTAATTCTTGTGGGGTGGTATTTAATAATTCCTGACCCTACAGAAAAGTATATCTTTTTAAATCATTTCCCTTAGTACTATTTTGCTGAGCAAAACACACTCCAAAGAAATTTATGCAAAAACTCTTCTTCAATGATAACAATGTCTAGAATGTATTTAGATTTTCTAAAAATTATCTATCTTCCATTAGTTATTAAAGTGCGTAAGACTTACATATTGAGAAAGCAAAGATGTAGGCCAGAAATTCTATTTTTATACCAAGACATAGACCAAGCTTTAAGATGGCTCAGCGCAAAGCACGTCCTTAATGGTTTACGAATCGTTTTAAGTGTCATGCTTTTGCAATTTCTAACTCTTATATTTATTTTTTCCTTTTCTGTCTTGCAACTTTTAAACAATATATCAACAAATCATAGACTTTGGTTCTTAGAAGCAGTGACAAATTTTTCTATTTTTCTATTTTTCTTTTTCTGTAAGACTCTGACTAAGGAAAACATTATTGAAAATTACTTGTAACATAATATATCTATGTTACTTATTAATAGTTTTTTATTTTAATATCATAAATAAAAATAAAATAACTACCAAAAGCAGTAATTTTTTAAACGTTATTCCAAAATTTGATAAGTGCACAATTTTTTAAGAACATAATCTTTTATCTTTAGACATCTGGCAAAAAAATTTAATATTTACACAAGACACCTACAACCAGAGAGTTTTTATTTATTGATTCCAATGCCAGAATACTTCTGTCACTATAAATTATCCTGTGATAACAAGGAAAGAGCTTTGTTAAGCAAAACAGAAGTCATTAAATGAACCTGATAATATTTATGTGAATATTGTGCAAAAGAGATACATGTGCAATTAATTAATCATAAGGCAAATGCAAGAATGTAAGGTAAAAGAATGTAGAATACACTTGTACTATGCAACAAGATATAGATTTATGCTTTAGTAGAGAAAAATACAAAAAATTTTAAGGAAATATTTAAACTTTCTCACATACTTATTAGATTTTTTTCGCTCTTCAGAATTCTCATAGAATAAAAACTTTATATTGGAAAAGAAATATCTATGAAGTCTGATAATAAATTTTCATAAAAATCATACTGTTACAGATAGTACAGGCGCCAGAAAGTACTCATTCCAAAGCTCAAATTTCTCCAACCACACAACTATCATATAGTCAAACATTCTAATTCAGATAATGATTACATTGAACTGAATGAGAAAAAAAAAGCAAATAAGAAATAGTGCATTAGGCAACTTCCATAAAAGAAGTAAAAATAAAAACTCATGAAATATAACTCATAAACAGCATCGTTCAACACCACAACAAACTTTCTTACCCATCGAGCGCGAATGAATCAATAATTAAATTTCTTCCAAGAAATGTCCAGTGTTCTCCATCGCCAGTGACGTTCCGAATGCAGAAGTAGACGGGATTAATATCAACAGAAGGTGCACTCGCAAAACTCATAAAGGCTTCATGTCCATTTGGATTTATCCAGACCGTAGAAAGGGGATAATCGTGATGACACTGGTCTACGTCGGGCGACCAGCGCAGTTCGAGCCCCTTGTCGAGATTCTCACCGACGATCCTGAGAACAGGCGCGAGAGAATCGACGCCCGATTCTTTAAGTAATTCTTCATTTTTTGCAATACGTATTGAATTTATTCTCGGACCAAACGTACTGACTTGCGCCAATACGTTGGCATTTGCTAAGTGAGAAACTGCGAGAACAAATAGAAGAGAAGCCGGCGTACGCGAGTGACCAACATGTCGCGCCATCATGCGACAAGTGCAGCGTGACAACTTCTCCCCATAAACGTACGGCCGCTTTATTTATAACCTCGAAGAGGAAGTTCGCGCATGCGCATTAACTCTCAATGCTATCCCGCGAGCCATGGAGTAGACTGACTGGATAAGCTATAGTTGCGTATTTGATTGGAATGTTTTTTAATACTACATATTTTTCTCATAAATATTCTTATTAAAGATAAGATATTGAGAATTCTTTAGAATGAAACAAGAAATGTTTTTTTACTGACGTGTCGCTCTAACATCATGGCGTTCGTTGCAAAAATTCAAATCGGCTATGAAACTTGATATTGAAATGTCTAGGGATTTATTCGGTTACTTGGGGAAATTTTTATAATGGATGTATGCGCACATGCATTTGAATGTTGCATTTTTTCAAGCCAAATATTCTTTAATCTTATGAATAAATTCCGATCGACTAATAAAAAGTGACTTGACTTACCATAATTGTCCTGCGTAACTTATAATTAAAAGGAGCTCTCAAGCTGTTCCAAAGGCAATTTGTCACGATGCTTCACGTCGATTAATTGCACTTGATAAAAGTCGCGCACTTTGATAGAGTTTATAAGTTCTTTTTACTTTAACTCTGATGGGCAACACGAGAAATTCTTTTTTTAGTCTTTCGGCGGGGTTCAAAATATTTTACCGGGAGAATTTTCAACCATCGTTCTTTTCCAACGTTCTTAGCAATGTTTACGACTTGATGAATGTCGCTTACTTAAATGAATCATCAGACAAGCTGTAAAAGATTATGCCTTTATTTTTTGTCTCTTCTTGTCCCCCATTATTAAATACGTTTCAAAGTATATTCAATAAATATCAAATTATTAAAACACCTTGAATCATGCACTCTACTTATAGTTGATATTGATGTTTATAAGATCAGTTATGAATTAATTGTTTTGTCTAAGCAACACACTGCACATCAATTCCTTCGCAATGAGCGCTTAACGCTTACTGAATCTTTAAACAACCCGGAGTTTACACATGGCTTACACGCTCTCACTAAAATGGCATGTTTGTGTACAGTGGCGCCATCGTGGAGGACTCGGGCATTTCTGTAAACTGAATTAACGTAAGTCACTCCTGCATTCATACACGTTTAACGAATTTTACATATGTTATAATTGATATTCTCTAAGAAAATGGAAAGTACAAGTAAAAAATACCGATGAAGAATCTTAATAAGTACAGATATCATTATATTTATTTATTATGCATACGCATTCCACTACAAATTTCTTCGCTCTGACCTTCAACCCCTTATAACGAATTGCTTTAGGGGGTGATATGTGTGAATTGACTTAGTTAGATTTACATATATTAACTATAATATTCTTCCATAATCCCGTGTGGTTTGAGTGTATTTGTGTTATCAGCTATATAATTAACATCAACGATAATAGTTTTGTCGATTATCATTTTAGATTATAGTATTATTTACGTCAACAGAAGTAATAACGTCTTAGGATCAATTAAACGTTGGAAACCTCAATACTAAGTTTTTAATCAGAAAAAATGTTTTAACCAAGTAACGACCAGATAGTTATAATACGAAGGGGATTTGGTTCCACTTTTCATAAAGTTTTAAATACAGTAAATGCTCTTATCCTCGCTAAAAAGCTCGCTTCAATTCACATTCATCGACCACGACGAATTGTCCGACCATCTTTAAGTACTGCTGCACTATATTGTCATTAATCGTTTCTTGTAATAGCAAATCAAACGCACCAAGGAGAAGGAAGACGGACCTTGCCAAATTTCTTATTTCTCAACAGTAAATCGTAGAAAGAATCAAAATGCGTTTCACGATTTGAATGGATTTTTTCCCTCTTTGTACGCTTTGTATCAATAAAATATAACACGTAATATTCTACTTTCTATAACATTGTTTCACTATATATATAAGTATAAATATATTTATCTAATAATGATAAACGATATCGAGTAACAGGGATAAATGCGATGGATATATATAAATGCATCTGCGGACATGTGTCTATAGGTTTGTGCATGCAAAATGCAGTTTGTTGTATAATGTAAAAAAAAATAAAATTCAATCGGCTCAGTTCCTATGTATTCCACTTGTTTTCACTGAATCATTACGTAATAGTCCGTACTTCACAATCACCCGTTAACAATTTCATTGCCGCTACTGCACGCTGTACGGCGCTGTGGTCATATTTGCCATGAAGGCCATAAGTTGTCAAAGAATTAAAGAGGCCAATAAATAAAATTATTAAAAATTTAAAACAAAAATTGTTTACCTTCAAAAAGTTAAATTCGATGGTAGTAAAAATATACATATATATAGGGATAGACTCTCTTTTTAAACTACACAACGAATCTGGTTTGTATCTAAACTTCTTGAATACTTGTCATTTCATGTTGGCAGCACGAATATTAAGGAAAAACTTTTTAAGGTTTTCATTGATCCTCCGTTTTCATTTACATAGAGAAAAAAAAGGAAAAGAGATAAGAAGTGATTGCCTTTTTCGAAAATCTCATGAAAAACTTTACCAATAACGTTTTCACCACATAACCCGACGATTTAAATGAGTTCTTTTCTCGTTTTCTCAATTTTACTTTCCTTTTTTGGTCGTTAAGGCACTCATTAACGGTCAATACTAACAGCGAATAGAAGTCCGCGCCGTTCTATCACTCTCTGGGAGCATTCACGAAAAACAAGGTTTAATCGAACGAAAAACTATTCGACATAAACCTATGTAGAAACTTATTAAGAAAAAATAAAAATAGATGTAGTGACAGCGGTAGTAATAGAAATAGTAGTGAAAGTAATGAGAAGGAAAAAAGTGTGTGTGTATACATATACATGTATATATAATACGCATATGAACGGAACTAAATAAACATTGCGTGACTACAAGCAAAAAGGATTGTATGTTTCTTGAATATACTAATTTAACACGCCCCTTTGCTTTTAGAGACGCTATATATATTTCCGCGATCTCCTAAACATTTCTTTGTACCGGCTTTTTTTCTCAAAACCTAATAATAAGTTGTAGAAGTATTTGGATTTTCCTGGCGACTATATAACCGTTATAATTCTCATATATCAATATAAAACATATATACATATATATAAATACGTACATAAAAAGTATATATCTATATATGTCTGTATATAAACAGTTTCCCAAAATGGGACAACATTAGTCACGACGTGAACGAAAAGTATTTCCATAGTAATTTTCTCTATCTCTTATCTTCTATATGCTTGGATTTAACGTTTTACACGTCGAGTGTACCGGAAGGCTGTACGAACGCGCTAAGAAGTAGAATTTATGATAGAGGATAAACTGGCTGTATACCATTGTGCAAGTAAAACTTATTAATAATAATTTTATTGTCATTGTACGCCCCTCCGACTTATTAGCCAGGCCCACTGTGTCAATCGGTTTCCCGTAAGAGCGAGGGTGATATGTGTCTAAAGCTACGAGCAACACAACGTATGTGCTGCATGAGGGATAGTGTTCTCTATTTCCTTCATACTTCTTTTGGCATGCTATTCCCTGAGTGAAACGTATCATTTGCGATGACGAATGGAACTAACTAGCGTATCTAATGTAGTATTGCGTCTGCGCGAGTTTACTGTGATCTGTTGAAAAAGGTGAGAAGGGTCGATTAAAATATATAAGAATGCATCAGCGTACAGCATCCCATGCAGAGCATTGGTAAAAAATTGAATTAACTGTATGCGGCTACCTTCCTGATTAAACGTGACGGTCAAGTTGGTTTCGCCAGATGAGTTTTCAGTGGCGATCGATCGGTTAAGTTTTTGAGTTATTAATTAAGTACCCAGTGCTAGGTTCAGGCTATGTGTCACGCCGGCGAGTCGGCGTTTCCGTCGTTGCGTGATTAATTCTTTATAAACGCTGCGAAGGGATCGCACAGAGTTCCGCTGTCACTGATCGATCGTTAAGAGTCATCCTTTTTGGGAAGGAGATGGACCTTTTCTTCGTCGTCTAGCGACTTCTTGCGAGGCGGTAGGACGGCCGCCTCATTTTGACGCGACAGAATCTCGGCGTCCAAGTCTAATTTAGATTGGCCACCCTTAGGAGTCGAACCATCGAGCATCTGTTTTAATTGAAGATGAAATGAATTTTTCTTCTGGTAAAATTTGTCTAGTAGTATGTTGTAAATCGTAATGAATTGACGGATTACCTTGGCTGGGGAGCTTTTGAGTTTCCCGTTATGATCACCACTCGAAGACACGAACTTCGCATTCGTCATTGGACTCGCGCTCACCGGAACTGGTGAGGTAGGTGCGGTTACGTTTCGCTGTAGCATGTTTTTACTATCTTTATCCTTGTCACGTGGCAACACTGGGGAATCCGGGGCGCTGCGCTGATCCTCCTCATCCAGAGAGTGAAGCAACTTTTCTACTTCGTCGTCGAATTGATCATGACTTGGCTTCGGATCTTTTTGACTTCTTTCTAATAAAGTTGCTCTCTTGGCAGCTAAATAGAGCGACCTCTTGACCTTCAGGTAGAAGACTTCCGTAACTGCGCGTACAGTGTAATCTGGTACGAATGTGTGACGTAACATGGCATCCAAATTTAAAGACTGTATACTACCCATCGTCTGAGGATTAGTATTGGCTGGTGATTCGGTTACTGTAATAAAAATAAAGATGGATTATAATTGTGGGCAAAATATATAGTAATTGAGCTTGAAATGGCAGTACTTACCAATACCGATATTGGCTGTAAGGGCCTGCGACCCAAAGTACGTGAATGGACCACTTTCGAACATCATGCCCTCAGTACCTACAGTGACCTCGACACGTCCCTCCAAGATGAGGACGAAATAATCTACAGGCTTTCCTTGTTGATAGATCACAGTTGTTGGATCGCTCTTTGCCTTTTCGCGTGTCTTTACTTTAATATGATATATAATATCTTGCTTCAGCAGACGGCGTAGAATTGTTTCTGATATTGTGTCTGGTTTAAAGGCCTCGACAGCTATTAGAATAAACGTAATAATAAAATAATTATCTCATTGACAATGAAGGACTGCATTTTCTTATTGTCTTTTCTGTCTGATATTCTTTTTTTTTTTTTGAATATCGCTTGAACTTACTCGTCGACAAATACTGGAACATGGCTAGTGTCAACTGCGGGGATATGCGTATTCGTTGATTATCCTTCTTCTCAGCAAAACTAGTGAAGTCTAGCAATTTTGTTGAATGAGCTGGTCTCCTTCTCTTACTTCTATTGTCGGCTGTTGTAAATTAAAAAATTCGTGTAAATTTCAATTGTTTATTTCTAACTCTAGTGAGATCTCTGGTGGAGATTAATTTCGAATATACTAACTGAAAACATCCGTCTCATCCATGATTTCTGCTTGGATCAGTTCTTCAATTACGTCCTCCAGAGTGACTAACCCAACAACTTCGTAGAAAGGATCACCGTCACCCTCGTTATTGACTCTCTGCACAAAGGCCATGTGTCCCTTGTGTCCTAAAATCAGAAACGATGGAAATTGTCAGTGAAACGCAGCATCAATGTCCATCACATGCAGAAGTCAATGAAATTTAAAACACAATAATATAAATCTTCTTGAGGACAACCGTATATCTCTCACCTTCCTTAAATTGCTTGAACATAACATCCAGGGTGACATCTTCGAAGACAAAATTACAAGGATTCTGATAAAACTGACAAAGCGTCTTCAATGGCGTATTGTCGTCCGGATCGACAAAGGCGAGATCCTTTATGTAAAGCATAGTAACAATATTGGTTCTGCTTCCCTGGTAAACAGGAACTCTGGAGAATCCTGTAAAATATTATTAGGCTTAAATTCATCATCCATTGTAAAAAAAGGGAAAAAATCTTCTATCTTATAAAATCTACTTATACGATCAAAAGATAAACTGATAAACTTGTCACGAGACCGAAGTGTGTAAAATTTCGAATTTATCATGATTTAATTAATCAAATCTGTCGTAACGTACCAGATCGATAAGCCTGAGTAAAAACTTGTACGTTTTATTATATCAACGTTATATTACATCGTTTTTTTCGAAGTCCTTTAGCACTGGCTGAATAGCGTTTTGTACGATCAAAACAAATGGAACTTGTTACGAAAGATGTTAACTGTAAGATATCTTCAGATTAAGCGAGTTATTTTTATCATGAATTCAATGACGGCACGCTACTTCTCATTGCAGCATAGAACTAAGTATGGAAAAATAAGTAGCAATAAGAAAAGCATCGTTCTCAATCTTAAAATCATCGTCAAATAGTGGATTTACACTCACCAGATTTCATAATTTCGGATACGGTTTCAAAATCTAAAATAGCATTATAATCCAACATATAGACGTCCTCTATGCGCGTCATGACGTCTGCTACAGTCTTCTTGCGTAACTCCAAAGCCCCTGAGATGATATTCACCTCGTCTTTCTCGAGATCATTGTACTCAGTAGTTATCTGTAATGAGAATTAAAGAATGTTGTAGAATTCAAGGACGATTATATTTGCTGCTGAGTCAAAATTTATATAATTTTTCTATCTAGTGATGTGAAATCCATCGATTGCTTTTATAATTTCTATCAGTGGTATGGATGCTGATTAGATTTTCTTGATATCTTTGATGAACTCTGATGAATATCTGATATCTTGATATTAATCTGATTAACGCTATCAATAAATCTGTACATAAATTGGATACAAAACGATGGTCTCATGTGGATGTAATGTAAATTATTATTTGTTCATTGCATCGATTGAGGTCGATCAAATGATTGAAGATTCACCTTATTGTGCAAGTGGAAAATTTTTTTTAATCATCTATCATCACTGTGAACACGATGATAGACAGACATCATCGGTATATACGTATCGGGCAATGAGATAGAAACCTCTTAGGCCCTTTTGACGTCAGTTGTATCAATCATTAATTTGTCTAATCAGATAAAATTATAAAACCCACTAACTTCTACAGAGATCATTTTAATCGATATTTGACTTCATCAGATAGTAATCAGACGTGTCTTTGGGTATTCTCCCTTTTGATTATAAATTATAGATCTAAGGAGGGTCAAACGAAACCAGTTGACTTAATTATCAATTCTATTGATTGATTCATCAGTGCTCAATATTAATTTTCCAGAAGTGACATACTTATTGGATTTTATGTTTTTAGTTTGAAGAAACCAAACGAAATTTCATATTTTGGCACGAATCATCACAAAATTAGCTCACGTGAATTCTACGCTAATAATTCTAGGCAGACAAGGATATTATAAAAATTGGTTGTACACAAACTTAGTGTCAAGCGATAAGAAGACATTTATCACACTTTGCCACAGCAATTCATTGCACATTGCGTTCGTTGACCCCACGCCAACAATTCCCAGACTCGAATTCCTCATGTGCTTCTAGGTAAATGATACAAGATAAAATATCACGGTATCCCACAGGACTCAAATGACAAGGAACATTTATCTGCTCCGATAATTCTAAGAAGTCTTTAACCAAGATAACTCAATCTACTTTTGGAAATTGCAACGCATGAGAATCACTGGAATGGCCCTGCTAAAATTTTTGACATTGAGTCAGATAAATTTGAGATTTCAGTCTCATATTTGCAATTTTACTCAACTACTTCATTTCCACGCTAAGACTAATAATTCTACTGATTTATTGCTTAGCTGAAGAGTGTCAAGAAAAAATATGTAATGCACAAGAAGTATGTCAATGTTAACCTTCTTTTTGCAAACACTGTAATTGTTTGAGAACTACTGGAATGCACACAAGAGGTAAGCAATAGAGTTGAAACGTGTTAGTTTTGTAAAAATTTTATGAAAGAATTTAGGCAACCTGAATTTCCAGAAATTAACTATCATATTAGTCAGAGTAACCCATTTTCAGCTGAATAAAATTCTGTTTACTCACATTAACCAATTCCTTGAGACGTTCTCGATTGTAAACGTTGCCAATTTCCTCGCCGAGAATAAAGTCGAGAATCTTACTGATCGGATAGCTTAACGGGAATGTGATCAACATGGTGAACTTCGTAATAAAAATGGTTTTAGCACTAATCATCAACCCGTGTCTGCTGCAAATAGCCTAGAGAATAAAATAAGAATAAATTAATAAATTAACACAAATATACTTTGAAGTGTAACAGCTTAATGTTACCAACCTGAGGCCAAATTTCACCAAATACAACAATGGATAGTGTCGACGATACGACGGCGATAAGGCCGGAAGTGAGATCATCAAGAATGACGGTGAAAATTGAGTTGGCCAGCACAATAGAGAATAAGATAGTGCATAGTAAATAGTTTCCGTGATCTCGAACTGGTTGAATTTTCTTCGCGTATTCCTTTTCCTATTCAAAGAAATAAATTGTAAGAATGTATCACCTTCACACGTGATACAGCCTTTTAAATAGTAATTTCCCCGATATAACAGAAAAAAAGTGATGAATCACTTACTTTCGGAGTTCCAATGTTTCGTAGAATTTTCAACTCAGTTCTGTCGAGCGCCATAAGACCGAGATTCAAGCCAGAGAATAATGCCGAACAGCATATGCAAAGACACATGAACACAATGCTGAGCCATAGTGGCAAAAGTTTCTCATAAGTACCAATCTGAAACACCAAAATCGTAAAGATTACAAATTACTACAGAAATTAGCACGACAGAAGTACCTTTAAATAAATTAAAAATAATTTTCTTCATCAACCTATTATTGCTTTTTATTGTCCTGCGACAAAACCGCTACCTACCTGAAGGCGCCTGAACTAAATTGAATAAACTGGTCAATTAACTCACCGATTTCCAACTCGCGTCACCCTGATGCTTGAACAACACAACATCGGTTGAATTATCAGAACCCGATTGTTTGGCGCATAGAAAATATGTGCCTTTAGCAAGATTGATAGTTACTAAAGCCGAGTTACTTTCTACCTCGAACACCTGTAGGTCAGAAAATTTATATTGTATCAATAATCAAAGAACAATCCGCCAACTCCGTAATAATACACAAATGTTAGCGAACATGTGCATACCGTATACATATTAAAAAAATGTATATTAAAAACTTATGGCGTGCAATACAAATGGCACAGATAGTATTCACGTACATATTCACACGTGTTCACTGAGGTACAGCTGTGTATGTACGCACGGAGCGACTAAAACGTTAAACCGTACAAGGAAAGTGAATCATTCTTATTTTCCTTTTTCCTCCAACAACGCTCCTCGCTTACATCACACAATCGTGACGTAACCAACTTACTGAGAACTCCTGAGTCTTGATCTTTTCGCATATTGTGCCATATTTAGCAGGCACGTCGGTAAAGGCGATGAGCGTCTTCTGTGTGATGCCAATTCCAAATAATCGCACGGTTGTATTGTAACCGACCAGGACCTCGGGTACGCCATACTCAGAGATACGAGGTTCCTTATCAGTGTACTCCACTCGAAGACCCTCGATCCTGATTTCATCAGTTGCCGGTACAGCTGCTGATGAATTATTTCCTTCGCCAATGGCCGGACCAAAATCATTACTTCTACGACGTCGAGTAATTCTGAAACACAGTAGAAAAATATAATTAATTAACTAAAAAATTACGAACGTTCAGAGATGAAGGTGGATCTCTCCTTGTTTATGTGGGATGTCATTAATTATGAAAAAGAATAAGATAGCTGCTATTGCCTACGACCAAATTCTCCAACAGCATACGGATCCTCCACTCTTGGATTTATGATATAATGTACAGCACGTATAGAGGCATAATAAGAATCCACACTTTTTAAAATCCGGCGAAAATTTATTTGGCTTCTGCACCTACAGTTCAACATTGTCTTTGTGTGTGATACCCGCGTGTACAGATATATACGGCAGACGCCGTACGATAGGAGACGCGCACGTGGCCTTTACTATAGATAGACGAATCTGGTTTTGTGCAGTTTACGGCGGCTCGTAGCGGTATCAACGGTAGGAAAAATCGCATCCTTATTGAATACAAAAGTATTGGCGTATCCCTTGTGTGATCACTTGGACAGTAACGCCCTATGATATTCCTGGTTGAAGGAATGCTTGGTATCTTTAATAACCAGGAAGGTCGAAATGAAAGATAACAGTGAAAAGGGGAGCATCTAATCTTGAAATTGTCAATAAGAGTAATATATTCTGAGTGTAATCGCATAATTGATTACTGATAATTATGCCACTCGGTGCGTCACTCTATGTATTATAAAAAATTGATATCAAACCTTTAGAAAATATTCCTCAATCTATATGGCAACCAACTATGACATTTTACTGATAAATTTGAGTACCCTGGCATTTTTGCCTGCATTTTCACATTCTCTGGAATTTGTTATTTAAAGTGCAAGCTACAAATATATGATATGCTTGTCAAGCATTGTCAAAAATGTGTATGGCCCCTTGTATGTACATGCGCACAAGATTGCAGATATGTATGTGCAGACTGTCTGATATAGATCGAATAGGTCAAGGCCAACCAGGAATATCCTTATCGTTCACATTTCATCACATGCATACCAAATTATGATAAATAAATTAAGACCGTTCTATGAAAAAAGTTCTTTGAAAACAATCAGTATATAAGCATCAATTGAGATTTTATGAGATCCAAGTGTACTCAGTTTTATACTGTACGTACAATTGTATAAAACCTCAGAAATGAGATCAAGGGTATCTAAGGAAACGAGATAAATGCTGGAAGGCTAATTATAAAAAGCCTGCACAATCATTTAAATCTCATTGAGCCTCTTCTAAGGATTTTTCTTATTTGCCTTGAAGCAATTTGTACTCGGCGAGGGAGACTGAAACGTAATCCTTTTGTTACTTCACTAGCGTTATATTCTCCCTCTTCACTTTACTAACATATCAAGAGTATTAATAGGGTCAAATTAATTGTAGAGTTGACAAGCACAGCTCCTGAGTTAAAAAATTTCTCAATATTATTGTGTCACTGTCCAAAAATAAGCAGTAATGGATCTGAATGCAATGTAATGCGATATAATTGTTATGCTGGAAGCCGTCAGCAACAGTAAACAGCTCGATGAGTTATTGCACTGAAGAAAGCAATCGGAAATCTATCCAAAAATTTTGTGTAAACTTGTTCTATCATCATAATTTAATTTGAATTTTCAGGATAGTTTTTTGTTTCAAATTTTTCGTTGTCCATAAGCTTCTGATCAATAGTCATAATTCCCACGACTCCTTAAAATTTACAGTTCTCGCTCTACGGCGTGCCAAAGATTCTATTTTCATTTCTTCTTCTACAAATAGGCTCACACGCCATTACGTCAAAGAAATGACATGGACCGAATTAATATTAATTCGGATCGTGAAAAATAATGTCTTTGCATGCTAGATCACGTGGACGTAAACAAGCTACCATGCACACAGGACAATTGTTTTTTACGGTCCGAATTGATATCATACGTCCATGCCACGCCGTGACGTAATGCCGCCCCAGTCTATTTGTGGAAGAAGTTGAAAAAAGTCTTTGATATGCCGCAACGGTAGAACTAAATTTTTTAAAAGTCGTGGCAATGATAACAAGCTTATGAAATAAAAAATTTTTTTAATTCAGGCAATTTTACAGAAAGTAAATTTCTATAAGATCTGTGCGTAGTCCTTCATTTTTAAAATCATTTACTAAACATTTCTGAATAAGATCTTGAGCAAAGCAGAATTTAAAGAAATTTATGCAAAAAATTTTCCTTGCTGGAAGGCTGTATGCTGATGTCCTTAGCACATGCTTAGATTCTCTAAAAATTATCTTCTTTCTGTTAGTTATTAAAGTGTTTAAAATTGATCTAACCGGATAACAAAAATGTAGACCAGAAATTCTATTTTTATATCGAGACGTGGAACACACGTCAAGGCTGCTGAAAAAGAAGCAGACCTTTAATATTTTACAAATCATGTCAAGAGCATATGTGCTAACTTTGTAATTCATGTTCTTTATCTTTTGTCTTGTGACCTTGAAATCATATGTCAATGTATGATAGACTTCGGTTCTAGGAACAGTGAAAACACTTTGCCTCATCTCAGAAAGTTTAACTAAGGAATACATCACTGAAAATTATTTGTGATGTTACTTATTAATAGTTTTGCATTTCGATATCATAAATAAAAATAAAATGGTCACCAAAAGCAGTGATAGTTGTAACATAAGCTATTTAAATGTTAATATGCAAATTTGTTAACTACACAATTTTCTTATTAGCGTAAGCTTTTATATCTAGACATCTGGCCAAGAAATTTAATATTTACATGAGACACCTACAACCAGATTTACAAGTAGTACACAAAACAGAAGACTTTTCATTCATTGATTCCAATGCCAGAATACTTCTGTCACTATAAATAATTATGTGATAACGAGGAAAGAGCTTTGTTAAGCAAAACAGAAGTCATTAAATCAAACTGATAATATTCATGTGAATATCATAAAATAGAAACAGACATGCAATTTGTTCCTTGTGAGAGAAATTCTACAATGTTACTTAAAAGAAAATACAATACATCTTTACGATGCAACATGAACCAATTATGCTTCAGTAAAGATAAATACAAAGATTTTTAAAGGAATATTTATCTTCCTCATACACTTATTAGATTGTACTCGCTCATGCGAATTCTCACAGACTAAAAATATCATGTTAGAAAAGATTTTTAATAAAACCTATCCCTGATACATAGAGGTGCTAATTCCAAAACCCAAATCCGTCGAAACACTCACACTATCATATAACCCAATAAAAGAAACAGAAGTTAAAGAAATAAAAAAGCAAATAGGAAGTTGCCAATTGAAAAAATTCCATAAGAAATTTAAAAAGTCATGAATCACGTCATAAAGATTACCGTTTAACGCAAACTTTCTTACCCATCGAGCGAGAATGAATCAACAATTAAACTCCTCCCAAGAAATGTCCAGTGTTCTCCATCGCCAGTGACGTTCCGAATACAGAAGTAGACGGGATTAATATCAACAGAAGGTGCACTCGCAAAACTCATAAAGGCTTCATGTCCGTTTGGATTTATCCAGACCGTAGAAAGGGGATAATTGTGGTGACACTGGTCTACGTCGGGCGACCAGCGCAGTCCGAGCTCCTTGTCGAGATTCTCACCGATGATTCTGACAACAGGCGCGAGAGAATCGATGTCCAATTCTTTAAGTAATTCTTCATTTTTCGCAATACGTATTGAACTTATTCTCGGACCGAACGTACTGACTTGTGCCAGTACGTTGGCATTCGTTAAGTGAAAAACTGCGAGAACAAATAAAAAAGAAGCCGGCATACGCGATTGACCAACATGTTGCGCCATCATGCGACAAGTGCAACGTAACAACTTCTTCCCACAAATGAATGGTTGCTGTATTTATAACCTCGAACAGCAAGTTCGCGCATGCGCATTAACACTTCGATGTTACCCCGTGGAACGTGGGTTGATAAAAGGGGAAAGATTAGTTGTTTATTTGAATGGAGTATTCTTATCATAAACATTCTTATTGACGGAAAGATCTTGAGAATTCTTTAAAATATAACAAGAAATGTCCTTTCAGTGACAATTCACTAATTTATTTGCTCGGGCATCATGGCGATTGTTCCGAATATTCAAATCAGCTAGGGAACTTAATATTGAAATCCTAGGGATTTATTCGGTTATTTAGAGAACTTGTTGTTGCGGTTGTACGTAGAGGTGCATTTGAAAGTTAAATTTTGATACATTATTTAAAATATTTCAGTAAATTTCATTCAGTGAATGTTTTAACTTTTTCTATTTAGTGCGATTCCCCATTATTCTTCAAATTATATAATTTTTGAATGTTAATTACGAGCCAGATTTCATTCTCTGATTTCGATAAAAATAAAATTCGATACCACTTCTTATTATCAGATTAGATTACAAAATGGTATTGAGTGTTATCTTTGATTATTGTTGAAAAGCATTATTTCACACGAGGATAGTTCATTCATTACGTTAATGAATGTGAGATGTCGATTAATCTTTTTAATAAATTTTCGTTGGCTATACTATCTCATCGACAATTATATACAATTCACTGAGACCGTAATACAAACTTTTATAAGTTCTCTGTATTTGAATTTCACTATTCATCAAAAGGGTGGTGCAATGACGTCATGGAATGGCGGGATAGCTCTTGCGTTTGCGCGGTGAACTTTGTTGTTACTTTCAGGTTGAAAAAGAATTGTATATTGTGTTTAATTTTATTGGATTAATCAAGTGAAGTATCGAAAAATAATCAATATGCCTAGCTGTAAGTAAAGAGAATATTTTAAATCATCTAGTTAATTATTCTTTGTGATGCTTATCGAATTTAAATCTCAATAGAGGTTAGAAATAACCGTCCGCAACCGGAGTTTAATGATTTTTTACAGATTTATTAACTTAGAAAATTAAAAGAAGTATTATATACGTTAAATATTTTGTCGTGCTTAATAAAATGTTGACTTTTCATAATTTATCGTCAGGATAAATTTAATTTTTGGCGCGCACTGTCAATCTATTTTTCTGATATGAACAAAAATAAATAAAAATATTAGATTTTTTTATATATAAGCTGCACTGTATAAGAGGTATACATATGTTTTATTTTCTTATTGCAACATTAGCGAGTGTAAGGCTTAAGCTATACTCGGTAATAAAACGCTTTCACTTCGAAGAGCTCGAATCAGCAGTACTACCGAGCTTCCCAGAGGTAACATGGAATACAGTAAGGGCAAAAATAATAAAGAATCATGAGAGCTTCACTGTATCAAACGTATTACGTGTTATTGAGCAAGTAATTGATGTGAGTATAAATAATAATAATCATATTCTATGATTAGAAAAGAAAGAACGTATCAAGCATACCTTCCATTTTATTCTGTTACGTCCTATTCTAGGATGCCGACTTGAATGATAATGAATTACAGGATCGTTTATACACACTAGAAGTTATTGGTAATGATTATGCACAGTGGCTTGAATCGGTACCACAATCAGTATTTGAAACTAAAAAAAATTTGTATATACACTTATTTCATGGTTTATATTTTAGACGTGAGTAGGCATTCTAAAAGAAAAATCTGGTATGGCTATAAGTTGCGTGCTGCTAATGAACGACCAGCATTAGTGACTAATCGCGAGTTGAAGGATCGTATCATAGCAAGTTTTATGGAGAATCAAATTCGCGTGGTGACCCGTGTGGTGTCTCATGATGGAATGATATTTGCGTCAATTGTTGAGAAGCCAAGAAGAACTACTCGACATAACCAGAACATGCTGCCAACATTTTTTGCCTTATTTCAAAGACAGAACTACTTTTTCAGTTCGAAAAAGAATATAAACAAGAAGTATCTTCATGCACTGACTTTAAGTCTTAACTTTACTCAGTTTCGAGAGTTAAAACTAGTTGGAAGAGATCTTAAGTCATTGATTAAACTACTCCATGAAAAGAAACAAGGTGCTGTACATGCTGACTTCGTAGACACACCTGTCATTTACACTGAACCAGAACCAGTTGTAAGGTACAGATTATTTTCTTATTATTACAAAGTACTTACCGTACTATTTTCAGGTGTAATGTGGGATCTAACCTTTTTGTGTTTTTCAGGAGTACTGGAATTGACTTCACTCAACATAAACATAGACGTGGATACATTGAGAAATGCTTTGGAGAAAATCCAGCAACTGTTGAAATGATTGCTATCAATTGTCCGAAGTGTTCATCTGAAGAATTACCTAGAAAATTAAAAAAGGAAAATATTGCAACTAAGTATGCATGATGGATTTGAATTAAATATTCGAAATATAACAATTACTATTGTTTAATTATTATTATTTTTCTTTTTGACAGGTGGGAATTTCGAAGTACCCATGTCGCCAATTTTTTAATGAATCTAGCCGAACGTCGTGTACTCACTACTCCACTGCCGCCATACGTAGCAAATCTCATGACCGGAGGAAAAACAGTATTAACACTTCGAAAATAATAATCGTTAGAATTTTTTTATTAAATTGTTTAAACTTGGCAATTTTAAGAAGAAGGAATTGACATTGTCACTACCGGATTGGACACCAATTACGGTAAACTGACAATATGTTATGAGTTTATCACACTGTGCAACAATCGTTTAAGGTAGACCCAGTGGTCTTATACAGAATATTAGTAAAAGTTTATTTTTAATTATTATCAGTCATTTCTAATTGTACAAAATTGACATTAAGCTTTACTTTAGTTAAATTTTTTAATTATATATGAAAATATACGGCTGACAGTGGAACTGTTATTAATTTTTAAGAAATTTTTAGTTAGCTTAACTAATTGTAATTAAGTATTTAGTAAGTATTAAGTAATTGTAAATACTAACAATTTTAATATGTATTTATTTATTATTTTAATGATAACGAGTAGAACAATTATGTATTATAGTAAAAATTACGTTTTCGGTTCTTCATAATTTGTTTTACTACAGACTTTTCACCGTCGGAAATTTAACGTCAAAAGATAAAAACTTACATATTTCTAGTGCCTAAAAAATTGTAATGGCAATAAATATTTTTCTTTTTTAATAAGTATTTTGTGATCATTTTATAATAGTAGCGGAGCAATTACGAAAACGTAGAAAGCATTTAAAGAGCAATATTTTTAGAAAATAGAAACAGAAACTTTAATCATTTGATGCTAACTTCCCGACGGTAAACTATCCACTGAACAATGTCCATTCCTCGTAGATAAAACCGGAATAATCAACAAGCAACGAAGGAACTTCTATGAAACAACAGATGTCGCAGTATTGAAGCGTAAACCTGAAATCAATATATTCAAACGCCAATTTGAAGTTCTTTATAGAAAAATAATATACAAATCACTGTCACATTATTCCAAAAGTACAAAGTTCAAGTGATTCGACAGCTGCCAAGAGATAGCCGACAATAAATATCTAGTAGCTGACAATCCAAGAAGTATTCAACAAATATTTTTAGTCTCGTTCCAAAATAAGGATTAAAAGCCGATTAAACGATCCCCGATATCCGGTAGCATTAAAGGTATGCAGAATCCAAGAATTTATTAAATATTTACCGCCGCAGATAAAATGATTCGGTAAAGGTACAAAAGAATCAAAGAATAAAAAGGAATTACCATTACGTTCGTGCAAGAGAAGTTTCAGCGGTCTATGTATATTTGATGTCGTGGCCTTGTCGCCCGCCGCCATTTGCCGCGTTGCTTTTCTATGCGGATATCGCAAACTGTGATCGACATGGCGAACTTTTCTATTTCGTTTCTAGAACCTCCACGGAGAACGAATGCGAAAATGAAATATTGAATTTTCCATGGCCGCTTACAAAACCACAGCAGCCACAGCCTTCTCATTTTGTGGTAAGTCCTCTGCCTTCTTCTCCGCCGTCGGATTCTTTATTAATCGTTTCGAGCTGTCAATGCGGAATAAATCGAGCGATAGTTGCTCCTCGAGAATTTCACTTATCTATACGTATTGCCTATACCTCTATATGTACCAGGATAAGTGCTGGGAATAATGCAAATGTGCACCTACACGCTCCCTGGAAATACGCAGTATAAGAGCTCCTAATAAGTAAGTGTACATGCACTAAGAATGTAGGTGCTCCTAAACCGATGGTTACCCTTAATGCATAAACCAGGAGCTTAAAAGGAAAATGATTTGGATAGAGTCGTTGCTTCCTAGTGTGGTTCACCGTATTTTAAAATATTCAGGACTCAATGGATACGTATGATTATATATTTATATACGAATTTTTCTTGGATAAATTGTGAAAAAAAAAACTATTGAATATCACAATTTAAGAATTTTATTTTATTCTGTTTTTATAATGGCCTATGCCCTCGGTCACAGGAGGATTCACAACAAAGACACGTTGTAAGGTTTGAGTGTCGACTACATAAGTTATACAGAATTATTCACGGCAAACGTACCAGCTGAAATTAGCCGTGAATCGGATTTCATGAATCAGAGCAGGGTGGCATCAATAAAGAAACGGAAGTTAACGTCATAAAATTACTAAGATCAAGAATTTCACATTCTTTTATTTTTTTTTAACAAGACCGTACATCCGTTGTCAAACGTAATTGCTGAATTGGATTAATTAATGTTTGCTTATGTCACAGGTTAGAATACCAAAAACGTAAGAGAATCTTGTGCTCCGTATCTGAATAGGTTATGATGGCTGCTGAGTAACATCTGTGTATACTGGGTGACATAATAATAAGATTACTTAGGTGGATTCTATTGACTTTTATTCATACTTTACTGTAGTATACCTAGACATATTCTATTCGGTTGCACAGTAAAAAGTAAAACATATATTTCGTAACATATTAAGTGGAAAAACAAAAAAATAGAAATTGACTGGTTACCCCGCATAGTAAGGTACGATTTAAAATTTTAAAAATAATTAATAGCTTCCTCCGAGGAATTTTTTATTTCTCGCTCATTTTTATTACAAGGATTTTAAATGAAAGCTCACCTACCTATACTTCGGCTTTAATGAACAGAATGATATTTGATTAGTTTCTCAAAATTAAATGCAAGCAGCGCGAGTAGAATAATGGTTTTGGTCTGATGAATAATTGAGACACATAACTTTCAATATACCCCTCAGAAAATAACGCGAATAGAGAAACGCACTTTATATGAAAATTGGGATCCATTGTATATACGCATATTTGTTAATTATAATGCCACAGTAGAAAGTTTTGTTTCAACAAAAATAAACAGAAGGCCGTTGGTTTTTTTTTAATTGTTATTTTCAAAATTCGTACGCAAAGCTGTTCTTTTATTTTTATTATGATTTATTAATTTGTATTTATGATCGCCTGCAATACCTTGTTTTTTTTTTATTACATGCCAATTTTATTGAAAATCCAATAAATTTTGTGTCAAGAGGTTTCTTATTGTATTTTTCAGTATCCAGATATTCCTGTTGACGTCCCACAAATGCTATCATTTATTCATTACACTTATACGCCCCAGACAACTATTTTGAAATACTAAATATTTTAATTGCAGTTCAGACATTCAAGATGTGAAGTTCATATATTACTGGCACTTGATCCCTCTATATAGGATGAATGAAGTTAATAACGAAAAAAAAAAAGAGGTTATATATTTATCTTCCCAGACAGCAGTGTCAATCAGTGAAATAAAGTGAAAAAATATTTTTTTAACTGCCTCAAGTCAATCTCTATCAGATAACCATTGTAATGAACGTGATAAAATTGAAAAATCCTTTTTAAATTATTTTAAATCAACCGCCACAATCACTGCACCCATAGATTATTCGTGAAAAGCAATATCACAATTTCCTCATGCCAATAATCTACTTTTCAAACATTGGTTCCATTCGTTTGATAAATTAGTAAAATTGAAAGAAAACAAGGCCCATGGCTGACATATCAACGTGCACTGAAACGATACTATTTCGCTTAACAGGGATTTATGCAAATGTCATCCGGTAGATATTACAACGTGAGGTAGACATAATAATATATTCGATCGATTCAAATCCGACGGTCGATACTAACAAGAAAGATACCTCAGGTGTCGTCTTCCGATTTCATTCGTTTTGAAATATGTTCTTCTCCGTCAAAATCTAAGAGACACGTGTTTTTTTTTTATCGCCCGAAAAACTGTTTTAGGGGATGAAATCAATCCCCAAAGTTGGGCTCCTCGATGGCGGTTTTCGCAGTTTCGCATATTTCCAATCGAAATATTTAAATGGGATCAATTGGAGAATAATATTCATGAATTATTATCCTAAGGATTTGGAGGTCGCTGAAACCGATTCTGGTCATTAAGTTTTGAATTTCACAATGCCAGATACTGCCAAAGTGCAATTTTTCAATTGTTATTGCATAGGGTAACTACCCTTAAACTCATTCTATTATAGTTTTATGGTAGTATGTAATTTTTACGAATTTCTTTTTAATAAATTAGTTGTTTTCAGTTAATTTGTTTACTTCAAAGTGCATTAAGAGCCTAAATATGGATACACAAAATATTACAAATATTTGATATTAAGCTATTTTCAAAATGAGTAATCATGACCATAACTTACGTATGCATAAATGATAACCGTTTTATTTATTTGTGATATTTTGTTTATATGTATTTTCACTGTTAACACACTTTCAAGTAAGCAAATTAACTAAAAATGTTTTTTCAATGTTATTTGCCGTTTAAAATCACTTCGCACCCGATTTTGGCTTTATACATTAAAATTCATCGAAAGGTTTTCAGTCAGATTAGATTAGGTTATGTATCTTTCAGCATTACAATGGCTTAGATACCCGAATACGATTTTAGATTTCCCTTTATATGTATATATCCAATGTGCACGGAATTCGTCTCTACGTGCAAACAATACGTTACTCTGGCGTTCATTGGAAAGATACAAAAATTGTATGCATAACGCGACGCACTTGATATATATTTCAGAAACGTAGAAAATCACGTCCCCACGCAACTTTGCAAAGGAGAGAAAGAAAAATGGCCAAGTGACAGGACAGAGCACCGAGAAGCTCCTCCCGTATTCCGCACGTCGCAGGACTTTTTCACTCATTATTTCCTCAAGGGAAAATTATAAATAGGCACGCGCCTGTTTTCCTAAGAAATTCACGCAACGAAGCTAACCTCAATTATAGTAACAGCCACCCAACATAACATAACCTAACACCCGTATCAAACCCAAACTCACGTAGCACATTAAGGTAACTTGAGGGACTTGCTGAAAAGTTTCATACGGGAATCTACTACAGCCTAATCGTATTACGCTAATGGATGATACAAACAAAGCAGCGCGCGCCTGTTGCCACGTAAAATGTACAAGGACGTAATTCCCTTTGGCGACAATAGAATTCACCCTAAGGAATTTGGCCCGAAGACTTCGCAGTCTGCTACGAAACATCAGATAAGGTTAGACATACGACACTAGAGAAATTGATGATCTTTTACATACATATATTCTGGGTTGGATAATATCGGTAATACATAGGATTTACATTAGAGATACCGGACAATGTACGCCCTTTTGAAATTCGAGATTGTGTAAAATGTAAAAAACAAGAACTAATTTTATTCTGTAGTAATGGACGAGTGGATTGTATATTTTTATCCAAATCTTCGATGACAACCAAACGTTTCTATGCTGTCAACATTTTACTAATCTTTTTGCAGTCGTAATACCTTGTGGCATGGGTATCCTGTTGGGAATATCCTGATCTTCGACGGCGAACAGTTGATATTATCAGCAACTGTGTATCCGGCACATACATTTTGTAACTGAAGTCTCGGTTACACAAATTCTATATTATTATACAGCGACTACGTAATAATTATATAAAATGATAAACGTATTTGTTGGTTACGACTAGGGAACTGTCACGGGTCTAGTCGTACTGACGGACTGGTCGTAATAGTTCGGGAAATCAGACTCCTCATTGGTCAAAATTCTTCCTCATCAAGAATTCAGCCAATCAGTATCCACTAGTGTTAGTCCTACGACTCTTATGACTTACATGGGCAGATGCCTTTATAGTGGAGACGACTTTATGCGATGCAATACTCCTAAGTAACTTTATATACAATATTAATGATTTATGGTATAACTCACGAGTTCCCAAGCGTGTAACGTCCTTGTTTTGTGTTACATATTACTACACAAATTGCACTCATGAACCATTGCGATATTGTTAAACTATTTGGGAATATCCTGTATACATGAAATAGGTGGTTAATATAGATACTAATTTCGGTTTTAAATTGTTGGTTTAGAAGTAATGTGCAAAAATTCTAAAACAAATATACAGTATGAAAATGTATTTCCACAGAGCGCTGCAGTCGCGCTCGAAATGCATTTTGCTCTAGTTTTCATATAATTTTCATGGCGAGGCAACGGCTGGACTTGACAATTAATCAATGAACGGTAATTCTTGGCAGTATCTACTTATCAGTAAATTCGTAAAAGTGTTCGTATTACGTAAATTATTCAACCCTGTTATCCGTCCGGTCTTCCTCTGAGTACTGACAGTTTGATCTATTGCAGGAACTAGGATACCACATCAGCATCTCGGCAGGAAATTGAGTTGATAAAATCATCGCAAGAGACAAAGTCAATTTGATTTTTCCATCAGCGATGGAATTAACCGTAAATCAATAAAATCAGTGAGATTCTACGTTATTCATTTATATTTATATAATAAATCATTGCGTTACCTGTGTTCTGTGTACATGTACAATTAATTCGCAATCAATCCTCGTAATTATAATGTAATTAATATTTCCATTTGAACCGAGGGTGTTTCTTGATTAGCGTAGTTATCAGTACCGCCATTACGTGTGAATATACATAATAACGATACTGGGATATGTCCCATCCCTTTAAAAGGATCGTATCTTCATGCGCTTCGGATGCAATTTATTTTTCCTAGAGATAATCATGTATACACCAATCATATATACATATATACAGTGGTATACGTTCCTTGGTAAAAATTCAATTTTCCTTTTTTTCACCGTCACAACGCGCTGCGTCGGTCTCACGTCCAGTCTTAATTTCCTTGTTTTCTCAATGTATAGTTGTATTCTTCCTTTTTGCCTTTATCTCATTCCTGCTGGCCGTTTCCTTACTCCGTTCAACCCCTGCAATCAGAATGTACATGCAGGAAGTTACACAAACGAATATACCAGATCTATGTCGTTTAAAACTTTGGTAGATTACGCCGTAGCAGGGCACGTGTTACGTATAAGTTTTAATAACATTTTTTTATTTATTTTTAAATTTGTTCGACGAAGTGGGATTAAAAGTGGTCGGTTGTTATTGCAGGCGTCGAGCCATAGACTGTTACGTGTGTACAAGTATAACCGAGGGGAGAGTGAAACAATTATTAATGGCTGTAAAAATTGCCAAAGAGCCTCCTGGGATATTACGATAAGAGGGACGCTACAGGATATAAGCTTAAAATTAATGCAAGGGGTAACTTTGGGGGGGGGGGGAGATTTGGAAATTTAACGAATGTCAAATATTCAGTTGGCTAGAGTAGATTCGCAAATGAAAACCGTGGATGCTGTTTTTAATGAGTTTTAATTATTTCGCGTGAAACCTACGAGGATAATATTGATTCCTAGAATCTGATCGATTTTTATTGATTCGTTGGAAAATTCAAATTCAAAGTATCAAAAGAAAGGGAGATAAACCGTTTCGGTATATTTCAATGGAACATTTTATTTTTTATCAAATCTTGCCAAATCGAGTTCTGGGATGATTGAGTTTTTCTGGAAAGCGCTATGAATTTCTCTGAAGAAAAAAAAAATATTTTGATTATCACGCGGAAAGCTCTATCGATTTTCAAAATTGTATTTGCAACAAAACCACGTGGATATAATTACTATTTTTGACAGCTAGTGTTACCAGCAACATGAAAAATATTGGCGGACGTCAAATAAACAGAGATGCATGGATTAAATGTTTCAATTGATTGCTGAAAAATTAATGTGATACAGATGAGGAAGAGTCTGACTGACAGATTTATAAAGAGATGCATCGCGGTGCAGTACTGAATAGTAAAATACGAGTATAAATAACAAAATGAAATGGCTAGTAACTTTGAAAATGAATATTAGGTTACTGCAATTTTGGAATAGAATAATTGATTGTACACGATCGACCATCAATTTTGGAAAAGACTTGTCTAATTTACATAAATATGTATAATTCGAGAAAGTGACGTATCGGCGAAACAGACTGGTGAATTTACAAAATTTTTATTTTCGATATTTAAATGAAAAACCTTTTAATAGACGGAGGTTGCTTTACAAAGGAACCGCAATCTTACCCCTGAAAATTGAAATTGCCATAGAAAAAATGATTGATAAATATTTTTCATACTTATGAAGTAACTAACAGATTTGTGAAAGAACTGATTGAAAATTTTGTTGAATTTGGAAAAACCCTGCCTTTATTTCGTAGCACGAATCGTCATTTTCTAATTCAGTGTGAAATCGTATTTGTACATAGTGTTGCTGCCTTTGCTCGCGCGAAGCTCTTGTATTCGTCTAGTATACAGTATATACATATATCTACAAATATATTAAGGTCTTCCATAAATCATACTGTAGCCTTACATAAAAATGTGTATCAGATACGTCGTTATCAATTTTATGACAGTGATCGAGTCCTGATCGAAATATTATTATCAATCGAAACAGTGTAACGGAGGAAAATGGAATTTGTAATTTTTCATGACACAAGAAATTTGAAAAAAAAAATTAAAGAGAAAAATGAAGAATAGTGGCTGCAGCACTGTACAGTCCCATTAGAATTTTTTTTCAAGCCTTAGAACAATATAATCAATATTAGCTTTTACTACGTGAAACAGCCAGTAGTCAACTTATAATCTAATTAAGCAACATTATAATATCGATGAAGCAAACACGTGACAGCGTACGCTGGATTATAAATAAAAAAGATTTTGGTGAGTTATAGATTTCAAATAAGTAATTAAGGATTTTATACATTTATAATTATCAATAAGTAATTGAAAGTAAGGATGGCTTTGATTTTTTCTTTGACAATTTCCCCAGTGTATTGAAAATTTATGTAAATTTCATTTTAACCTGCAAACCGAAATAACTCATCCATATATGTATAGATACGCAGCTGCACATAATAATCTAATGAAGACGAATGACCGCGAGATGGAAAGGCCTGGTAAAATCTTATGAAAGACAGATTCGATGCTCGTCTCGGTACTAAATGCATACTGTAGTTACTTGCTGGTACGTGGCTATACTGGTAGCAAGTAGCAGGATACATTGGATCCAGTCAAAATGCAATAGCAAACAGCACAGTTGTTCGTTCCGTGGTAGATTGCGGTGCCATATGCAAATCAAAATAGGTCTGACCGCTTCCGAATGCAATTTCGTTCTTGTATGTATGTAGGTCGATTGTACAGGTTAGCTTATATATAGCTAATAAGAGAGAAGAGAGAGAGAGAGAGAGATGGTAAGTGGCAGTTTGAAAAAATATTCAAATTAATAAACTGTCAAAAATGCAAATGCATATTGTCAGAATGATTTTTCTAACCTTTTATACGTCAAGACTCGATTACCAATTGTTACTTGTGTAACATGTATGCTTAGATTTGATTAAACAATTAGATGTTCTTTTGCATTACAGAATAGAAAAATAAAGTAGACATATGGAAAATTAAATGTCCTATGCTCAATTGTCATGTTAATTGCTACTTTGAATAACGTAGAATATTTTCCATTTAGGTAAGATGACTAAAGGAAGTTCATTGAGAAATGACGTCATCCTACGATTCCGCTTGGGAAATTAACGTGTCGTTTGTCACACATTCCAGTTTGACTTCTTGTCACGTGTCGGTTGATAAGTAGCGTCTTCTGACCGTGTTTTCGCAAGAGCGGAAATTACACTGACTGCAAATGCACGAGTACGAAGCCTTTTACGATTCAAATAATATTCACTTGGTTAAATTATAAACCAGAAAATAAAAAATCAACTCGTGGGAATGGATGAGAACCTGTAATATAGCCTATCCGAAGGTAATCGGACAATTGAAAATTAAAAACTACTTATACCCTGTCTCGTCTCGTCATCCTCAGAAGAGTCAGGGGCAGCTTTAATGGATCTGATTTACAAGGACAGACGATTAAAGTATCTCCAGTCGTGCTTCACGAATCAACGCTATTGTCCGAATTAACCACGTTAGCCGTCCGGGCCCTCAATTCCTTCCACTAACCCCATGTGTACTTCAATCTTGTGGAGAACCGTCCAATAAGTGTAGTCGAGCAGAAAATCCCACGTAGAGTAGTAACAGGAACAAGAACGTACACGATGGGATGGTCATAGGGAATAAAGAAATAAGGTAAAACAGTAAAAACAAAGAAAGTAAGTGAAATTGTCGAGGGCTCCAGGTGAGTACACTCGTCCCTGGACGATCAACAAGTAGTCTCACCTAGTCTCACCGTCGGGAGGGAGTCCTGTGTTTATATCTGGTTGGTCAGAGCTGTTGGGGATGACTAGGAAGTAGTGGGGATAGAGCGGACGAGTCACACGAGCGTCTTCGGGTTCAGTCGGTTCAGTGAGCGCGTAGCGTTGAGGTTGGGTTTGTCTCTTTGTCAGCTGTACGCTCGGGACGCTATAAAAAGTATATATACTGTATACTATAGTCGGTTAACATACTGAAGCGTCGTTCGCGTGGATTTTTGTGACGTGCTTGTGTCAGTCGTTTCCCTGCGACAATAGAATTATCGAAAAATGTCGTACGGCAGTGATCCCTGAGGTTGTGCGTTGGAATCTTGAAGAGTTGCTGGTACTGCTTTGAGAAAGAAGATCGTGCCAGGGAGAAAGGGACAGAGAAGAAATGCAGTCCCAGGGAGGAACGGCCCGGGCCTGGGCGAGGCCCATCTTATTGTTGCTTCTAGTCTGCGGAACTCTGGGTGAGTAGACTGTGGATATAGACAAGAGTCTCTCTACGTGACAAAGGCTCGTTTAACTTACCTTTAGGAAATTGAAAAACTCTAGGCATTCTTTTTCTCTCTTTCTTTGTATGGGCGTAGATTTCTTTCTTTTTTTTGTTATCTCGAGTGCAGAGATATAGAGAGTAAGGATTTTACTGCTTTTCTTGGGAAACTGTGAAATCGGCGTTAGTCGTTATTGCGCATGCGTCAACGGAATTCCAGTAAATCGGAATCGCAGAGACGCTATGGCTTGTTTTATTTCATTTTTTAAAATTCTCTTTGTACGTTACTTGGTGCGTAATTTACAGTACACCGGTGAGTCTCATGCGATGGCGTGTTCTTTCATCTCACGGCTTTGTTCTACGTGACAGATTTTACTTTACTAGCCAACCGATCGGGCCCACCTTACGATACAGGCAATATGGCCGCCGACTCGGTTCTACGTAAAACCGTACACAATCCACTCAAGTTTCAAGTTTTGCCAGCGTACCTTATACGCGTTGTCGGATGAGTCGGGAATGATAAAATAATCTTGACATTTGTAGGGTACTATGCTAATAACTTAAAGCCGTATAACGATCCAATAAATATATTCGTGCGAGACTTAAGATTGTTATTGTCGTTGGGATTTAAAAAAAAAGTTTTTCGCGACTCATAGATTAACTTGTCTAGCTGTAACTATAAAACGTAGCGATCGATCTCTTACGAGAGAACGATGCACACAATTTTTCGGCTAAATATAACCTACCCTACCAAACTTATCTGTACAAGTTGCCAGACGGTCTATTGTATGTATACGTATACAACGTTGCGGGGAGTTTAACGTAAGCAGCGCGTGCTTCTGGAATCGTTTTAAGGTGAATACACACGATAAAGCCTGGTAGCATAATAGCATGTAATATTATGTCGATTTTTCTACGGGGATGGAATGATACTTTGGGTGAAATCGCTAGAAATGGCTATGCTTTCCTGGCAAATAAATCAAGGAATAACGTAAATCCAAAAGGGGACAAAGAGCGTCGGTGGGTCGCTAGCAGCTTCTCGTGTGTAGCTGCACTGTATACAGTGCATACACACTATGCAAGCGTACGAGTCAGTAGCGTCCATGGACTATTGAAAAACAGGACCGGCTCTTTTCATGGGTCCGGGGTCCCATAATGGTTACAGAAGTGCCCCTCATGTACTAGATTATCAAAAAAAAATGTTGAAACTATTGAAATACGAATTTTCCATTCTGTGACAGTTTAAATTTCGATTCGCGTTGCTGGTAATTTTTTTATCAGACACTGTTATCTATTCTGTTTCGTTATCCACGATAGCTATTGATATGATTATGCTTAGTTTTAGCTAACTCGTTTCTCGTGTATCGTTGCACGCGAATAGTTTTTTATAGGCACAGCCATATCGTAATTTTGTGTTTTGAATCGTGCAAAGTAAAATAAAATTCGTAGCGTCTTCATAATTTTCATTAGAATCATGACACGTGCAATTATACGAGCTTGTAGACTCCTAAAAAAAAACTTGTAGTCTCCTAAAAAAAAACTTATTGTTTCTTTAAAACTTCAGTAATTACCGAAAGTTTATGTTCGTTTGTAGTTGACAAAGTTTACGCTAAAGAAGCGTCAGTGGCGCCTCCTCTCGGACAATGGTTCCAACTAAAGCAGTACCGCCATTATCTATTACGGACATTGTCAACGATATTTCAGCCGTAAATTCGGTAACGGGTCCTTTGTCCCGTACGAGAAAGAAAATATACTCGTTAGGACATTAGTAATCGCTGTGAATTCACCTTAAAGGTCGGCGCCACGCGCCTGCGATCACTCTGACGCAGGGCATTGCTTCTGAGCGTCATTCCGGAAATGTTAGTTTTTTTCTCTCTTTCCTTTTAATTCATATATCTCGCCTATCTTTTATTGTGTACTCCTAACAGTTTACGTCACCATCCGGTCGAATTACACTGAATGAAGTCTTTGATAAGACGCGATAAGCCACTCCGACGGGTATTACGCTACTATACGTTTCCCTATAGTCCCTCTCCGTCCCGTTCTCTTCCGTGCCGTCGGACCGTAGGTTATATCCTTCCTCCGCTATATCTTAACTGCATCTTACGACTATCCCACCTAACTTTGTCGTATCTAACAAATTTGCATGGCGGCAGTGCACGGTCTACGGAAAGCCGTACAGCAGATTTGCCGGTGTTACCTGTTTGTGTCGAGAAACGCGCGAATTATCCGGAAACAGCGTTAGGCGGATTTGGCGGGAATTCGCGAGAGATTCAAACTTCTAAATCGACGTGACACGAGACACTAAAATATCGACAATACACGCGTAGACGGTCAGTGCGTGCCTGTTGTTTTCGTCGAAGGATGCAAAACACTTTCTGTCAGTCACTTTAGTAGGAAGTGAAAATTTAAAAATACACTTTCATTATACACCATCGTTCACACGAGAACAAAAAGTCACAGTGTTCCTCTTTGAAAAATAACAGAAAATGGGGGCAGTGGCCATGTAGATTACCGAAGAAGGAGAGTACGATAGAAAGAAATACGATGACAAGGAGAATCAAGGTTGAACCTTTTGGGATCCCTGGTGTAGGTATATGATTTTTTCATTTTCACACCGCTCCACGACACCCTGGGGCTAGTAAGCAAGAACCATCCCCTGGAACATCCCTCGTACGTCCCTCGTACCTACAATTTTTTCTTTCTACTCTCTTCCTCTTTCTCTCTCTCTCTCTCTCTGTTACTTCTTCGCTTAGCTCGCCCACGAAGAAGATGGCCGTTTCAGTTACTCAATTTATCCTTTTAACGCTCTCCTCGGGTTTTCACTCGCGTCGATGTTTTTTTTTCTCCATCAGTGAAAGAGCATCCCGGATCGAAAAAGGAACGCGTAAAGGGGGAGCAGCGGAGGTGAAGAAGCCTCGAAGAAGACTCTCTCGAGTAATTAAGAGTTCCCTTGAAAGAGCCAGCGGAGACGCTGCACCGAAAGTGCCAGTCCAGCCTACACAATTTTGCGCTTAACGTTCACCCTCTTGTAGATTGGTTGGTATATGGTTATAGGTATATAACGTATTCAGCTATACAGTACACACCCCTGCCTTAATAGACCCACCGCCCATCGAATCCTGAAAGCAGGTTAAGTTGCGGACGAGACGCCACGGCGGCTTCTTCACTCTGTTAATTAACCATCGTCAATTAACATTTATGCGATTAGCAGTAGCATCCCTTTTGTTCTCTCTCTCTACCTTTGTACACTGTTTCTCTCTCTCTCTCTCTCTCTCTCTCTCTCTCTCTCTCTCTCTCTCTCTCTCTCTCGCATCGGCGCACCAGGGCATTGTGCCTTACGATACCACGGATGTACTCCAACTCAAGGCCATCGTCTCCAGGCACAAGACCGACCCTACCCTGTTAACTCCATGGGTATCTCTACCAGACTTCCTTCACTGTTAAACCCGGGCCCAAGTCATCCCTTTGTCTTTGAATTGCACCGGCATAGCCCGTACTCGGTTTCCGGCGAATTTCGTAACTCGCGTAAGTCTACGCGTTTCAAGTGAATCGCACGCGGAGCACGTAACGAGAGAGACCAACCTCCCGATAGCTACCAAAGCCGATAGTAATGGATGCTGCACGTAGCTATTTAGAGAGGACGATCCAGTATGGAGATAATGCCGACACTCTGTGTCAACAGCGTAACGATAGAACCTGGCGGGTACTTAATTTCGTTCGTGGTACTTGTTCTGGGACGGCGGTGGACACTCTACCCGGGGCCACTTGCGGTAACCGAAGAAGAACCCCTATACGTGGGGCTTACAGGTGGCCAAGGGGTTTGAAATTCAGGTTCGCCTCTGGGACTTGTTTAATCATACTGAGGGTTCTTGCTGAGTCTTCTGCGCGGGTAGGGGGGGGGGGGCACCGTTTGCCAACTTAATGAAATTGACCCTGACACCTGTGTCCTTGGACAGACCCAGTCCAGTCTAGAGACCTCGTAGATCAGTAGAGATCCTTGTCGATCGATCTTAGGACCCTTCTAGGTCGTCGACGGGGCCTCTCGATTCTTCTTCCTACTATCTTTGCCAGATTGAATTAACCGTGGAAAATAAAAAATTTCATCTTTCTCACTTTGGTCACACAAACTTTCTCTGCTCGGCCGTAGCTCCTCGAGTGACTTCAGTACTGGCGCTGTCTGAGAACTCGTCATACCTATCGAATGATTCGACTCGAGCATGACTCAACCGTGTCAATTAGTCAAATCCCGAGTATAACGCACTCGACATAACTTGCTCGTTTCGTGCTTAGATACAGTCGTTCTCTGTAGTTGAGATCTGCTGGTCCGGGAAGAGGGCGGGGGGCGGATTTAGACATTTGATAACCAAAAAACAGTCGATTCGAATGACCCGGCCTGGTGCAATGATAGTTTGGCCTGGTGGCGAAAACTGAAACTAAATTGGATCGCCGAACTGGTAAATACAGAGTTTCTGGCAGATCCTCGGGGTTCCCGCATCCCGTTTTGTTACCTACGTGTCTACTCTTGTTTCACGTATGTCACGTATGCATATCGCACGTGTCCCATATAGTAATGTTACGTGCGTGTACACTCTAGGTCGGTTAACACCGCCTCCTCCTCCCTCCCTGACCCTCGTGCGTTCACTTCCATGACGGTAGCCGGTTCGCGTTCCACAAGGCTATGTGCAGGATTCCACTCAGTCGGCTTGTCTCTCTCTCGCACCAGTTGACAGTCCACTCTTATTCACTCGCTCGCGCTAACTCGCGCGATGCAATCTCTGTACGGGAGGGACTGCTGGGGCTCTGTCGCAGCTGGCGTCCCAGGCTTTTGCCTTGCTTTTGATGCATCAACCTACACCAGCCCTTTGCTCCATCTAACTTCCTTTAGAAAGACGTCCTAATGCATGGTATAGCCCGGCAAGACCCGTAGCACACGCTATTATACGGCGGTACAGTCCGAACTAGCTGGGTCGAGGG